CACACACACGTGACACAAACACGCATGAGACCATGACTTTCCCATTCTGCCTCTGGGTGTGCGCCGCAAAGTGGAACGGCAGACCTCCAGAACTTTGCCTCTTATGATCATGTACAGGAGAGAGTTATCAGATTTTCGGAGAGTGCTCTCACGTGACTGCTGGCATCTCCTTCGACATTGGAGCGGACAGCTACTTCTCAAAGGATAACTACTTCCCGACGACAACGACTTCTTCACTGACATTCCTTCTGATGCTGATGCTAACGTTCTTCTTCCACCGCACCATGTGTATGCTTGTCCCTTTTGATAAGGACATCCATACTACAGTTACACCCACAACTCCCGGATGTCATTAGCTCAAGTTCGAGAGACACAAGCACCAACGATTAGAGTTTAAGTATGTCAACTCAAATATCAGGTACTTCCATTTCTAGGAACGCTCCCAAATGTTTATGAGAATGATGTTACCTAAGTCAGATATATTTCTATTACTCATTAGTTAAGGACCTAGAATGAAAAGCAAGACACGCATTGGAGTATGATCAAGCATGCATGAAGATGATTCTAGACTTCGAAGCCACATTGATGACACATGTGCGATACGGATGGAGTATACATGATGTCACTTTATAGTTTCTTTCACAATCACCTATAAGATGTAATTTCGGAGTACAAGACTTAATGCATTTTTTAGAATCCGTTTTTAGAAAGGATACCGATATAAGGTTAGATTTGACCCCCCCCCCCCACTCAGTGGTCTTGCCAAAACCCCGTTATTGAAGTTCAAAAAAACGCCCAGTTATGTATCTCCTTAAGTACCCCCTTAAAGCACTGAGTTGGGGCTTAAACTTTATTGAATTGATTTTTAATAGTTGCTACTGAATTTGCCATAGACACAAGAGTTGACAAGACATCCTGCATTACATGTCATTGGCCCCACACCGTGTTAATCAAATATTGCATCTTATATCCGCAATTCAGATTGTATCTCTTAAATTCTTGCTTGCTTTTCGGTTGCATGCAGAGATGGATCTTCATGATCAGTTTGACTGTGGTATCAACATTGTCAATAACCATACCGGCCGGACTTGGTTTGGTGATTGCTAAAGCGCATTGTCAAGTGTTCGGTGTTGTCAGGTCATCAAATTACTCTCCTTCTATAAAAAAATCAACATTGTCTCACAAAAAGACCGGGCCACCTTGTTCCTATGACCTTTGGAATCAAAGGGGGCGGTGTGGGGGTGGGAGGGGGTGGGCGATGGCTCATCAGCCTATACGTTAGTTCGTAACAAAATCTTTTGTACTCTTGTATGATTATTGTGGCTTTAGACATCCTAAAAAGAACAAGTTATTGAAATTCATATGCTCCATGCAGGGAATGTGGTATATGATGTGACACAACAACATCCTACTAGCTAATTGCCCATGCATTGCAACAAGCGTATTTTAGTGGTCCAAAATCAATCTTGTTGGACATATACCTTACATCAGTTCTGATAACATTTAATTTGATGGGATTTTGGTTTAGTTGAGATTTTTATAAGATTAATTTGATTTGATTTGATTTGCTTTGATTGAGTCAATACAAGGCATGTTTTGGAAAAGTATTGATTTGTGTTTTTTTTCTCTATGGGATCGTTTGGGGTTACAAAAAACCAACAGAAAACCAAGGAACATGGGAGGAAAAAACAGGTGGGTGGTGGAGGCGACGGAACAAACTCCTCTTGTAGAGATAGAAATGTTTTCCACGTGAGAAATGTGACTTGTGGTGCATGGTCCTTAACTTAAAACGGCTCCCTCACTCTTCCCTTTAATTTCCTTTACCAAAGAAAAGGGCCGGTTTATAGAGTGCTGCCAGCACAAATCAAGGAGACTCTGTTCCTCGGAAAAGGGACGCACCACAAGGACGCAGCAAAGAAACCAAGGCGAAAAACTTCCGCAGTGGTGTGTTCCTAATAATAGGGACTTCATCGTTTGATTCTTTGTGCGCGGCAATATCGCTGCCGCGCATCGTTTGATTCGTTTCTTCAAAATTTGTCTGGCTCTCCGCGGCAATGGCGATGCCGCGCAGCGCGCCGGCGGAGCCAGATGAAAGTGCGTCGCGCACGAAGCTCCTCGTCGGCGGCATCGCGGCCTTCCTGCTCCTCGCCATCATCATCGGCACGGCGGCGTTCATCGTGTCGGAGAGGGCCGAGGACGAGGGGGAGACGAACAAGAAAGCGATGGCCGCCACGATGCGCACCGTGGACCTCTTCTGCTCGCCCACGGACTACCAGGCCACGTGCAAGGAGACGCTGACCAAGCCGCTGGAACGTTCTGACAACCAGGTCGACCACCCGCACGCCGCCGCCGCCGCCGCGATCACCGCCGTCGGCCGGGAGCTCTCGCGCGGCTTCAACGAGTCGTCGCTGCTGGAGGCCGTGCGCCAGAGCAACGACACGCTGGTCCACGAGGCCCTGCTCGACTGCAAGATGCTCCTGGACGACTGCGCCGCCGACGTGACCCGCGCGCTCTCCACCGTCGCGTGGCGCGGCGTCGACGGGCCGGCGCAGGACCTCCAGGCGTGGCTGAGCGCGGTGATCACGTTCCAGGGCTCCTGCGTCGACATGTTCCCCAAGGGCGATGTCCGCGTCCAGATCAAGGAGATCATGGAGAAGGCGCGGGAGATCTCCAGCAACGCCATCGCCATCATCCAGCAGGGCGCTGCCCTCGCTGCCATGATCGAAATCGACGCCGGCGCGAAAGTCACCCTCCCCAATGACGCGGACGACGACGACGATGACGACGACGACAACAACGGCAAAGACGATACCCCCGCCGAGCAAAGCGACGGCGAGCGCCAGCTCCAGGAGTCCGTGTCCGACGTCCCCACGTGGGTGCCCAGCGAGGACCGGAGGATTCTGGAAGAGGCGGAGGAAGAACGCAATGGCGTGCTCACGCCGAACGTGACGGTGGCCAAGGATGGTTCCGGTCAATTCACAAACATCTCGGCCGCCTTGGACGCGTTGCCCAAGAATTACAGCGGGAGGTATGTGATCTACATCAAGGAAGGTGTCTACGACGAGTCGGTGAACGTCACCAACGGGATGTCAAACATCACCATGTACGGCGACGGCCCGAAGAAGTCCATCATCACCGGCAGCAAGAGCGTCGGCGACGGCGTAAGGATGTGGAGAACCGCCACCTTGGGTAAGTAAACACACATTGCATTGCCCATAGATGCTTACAACAAATCCAAGCATGCATATGCACGGACAAGCTAGGACCAATGTGACCGTCGTTAATCAACTATGCTGTACGCAGCGGTGGACGGAGACAGGTTCATGGCGGTGAAGATGGGGATCCGGAACACGGCGGGGGACGAGAAGCAGCAGGCGATTGCGGTGCGCGTGAAGGGCGACCGGGCCATCTTCTTCAACTGCCGGATCGACGGGCACCAGGACACGCTCTTCGCGCAGGCCTACCGCCAGTACTATCGCAGCTGCATCGTCTCCGGCACCGTGGACTTCATCTTCGGCGACGCGGCCGCCGTGTTCCAGCGCTGCGTGCTGCTCGTCAAGGACCCGCTCCCGGGGAAGCCGGGCGTGGTGACCGCGCACGGGCGCCGCGACCGGCAGCAGACCACCGGCTTCGTCCTGCACCGGACCCGCATCGTGGCCGATGAAGCCCTCGCCAGCAAGTCGTCGACGGTGAAGACCTTCCTGGGGCGGCCGTGGAAGGAGTACTCGAGGGTGATTGTGATCGAGTCGGTGATCGACGGGTTCGTGCACGCGCAGGGGTACATGCCGTGGGAGGGCAAGAACAACCTGGGCACAGCGTTCTACGGCGAGTACGGCAATGTCGGGGACGGCGCCAACATCACCGCGCGCCAGGAGATGAAGGGGTTCCATGTGCTCAACAAGGATAAGTCGAAGGTGTTCACGGTGGAGCGCTTCCTGAACGGCGGCGAGTGGATACCGGAGACGGGCACGCCGGTGAGGCTAGGGCTGTTTGGCTGAGATATACAGATGGGTGGAGTGTGTTCTTCGATCCGTGTGTACGAATGCGTTGTTAGGTTCACCTGTAATGTAATATATGTACAAAATACAGTCAAAATAGTGACCTCAAAAGAGAAGTGCCTACTGCGTGAAGAGGAAAATTAATGTCGATCTGCTTCTTTTCTGTTGGTGAACTAATCATCCACACCATGGCAAGATTAACCGTGCGTGCACATGAACAAGACCAACGAGGGAGGAGCCCCGCAGATGGAACTGGATCCTCTAACTAACATACAGAATAAAAGTTAGAAACGCTACAATACTCTAACTTTTTATGACTAGGACAAAAATGACTTCAATTAATTTACAAATTACAGATCTACTATGTACATTCGTAGTAACTAGCAAATGAGTCTGTGCATTGCAACGCGAGAGAAAATAACACGCGCCCCTAACTCAATAATCGTGACTGGAGATCACAATAGGTCCATGCTATTTATTTGAACGTGGCATTCCATCTGTGTTGCCGCTTATCCTCCTTCCACCCTCGCCGACGATGGTCTGCTCACACAATCACCAGTGTTTGAATATGGTCAATCCTAAGACGTCTCTCTCCGCATAAGATGAGAAATCTGCTTTCTATTTCCCATGCAGGATTTTGCCGACGCGTCCATGCATTGTTATAGATAACTTTTTTCGTCTCCAATCTAATTTTATTGAGGTGTTCATTTTCAAATCAGATCTACATCGACACGAAAGAGAGGCGGATCCTGCACTATTAATTAAATATGCACCCTAAATAACATTTTAAAAATGGTTAGCAGGTAAAATAACATCATATTCAGATTCTACACATTTTTTTGATCAAATTCCATATATGTTAAAAATGGAGTTATAGTTTAAAAGATATGACTATTTTGAAAAACATATGATATGGACTATTAATTAAGGCTCCACCCTAAATAACATTTTAAAAATGGTTAAGAGCCAAATAACATCATATTCAGATTCTACACACTTTTTTAATCAAATTGCATACATAATATGTTAAAGCTGAAGTTACGGTTTGAAAGATATGACTATTTTGAAAAACATATGATATTGACTATGGGTTAATTAAACCAAATGTGAAGTTGTTTTCCGCAAACAACGAACATTTTTTCTGGAGTCACTTAAACATGAACCGCGTGTTGATTTGAGTAAACTACAAGGGGTATTGTGTAAAAACAAAACATTTTTTTAACTCATTTAAACTTAGACTGCGGATTGATTTCAGAAAAGTGCAGGGGGGTTTCTGTAAAATGACATAATAGACCGCAGCGTTATTTCATGGTGCAATAAAATTAATTTATATTTACCGTAAATACCAACACTAAACCACAGGTAACAGTTCCTAACTTTCCTTCTTCATTTTACACTAGACTAGCACTGTAGCACTACGACTTTCCCTCTCTAAGTTAGAGGATCCGGCTCCTACGGTATAGGCATTACCGCACACTTGTCAATGGGGTACAAGCTTATTCACGCTATGTACACGAACACTAGAAGAAAATCACATCTAGGCACTCAATTTATGGGATGTGCTTATTTGGTTCATCAATCCTACTCTGAAAGTTCCCATTGAATCTGCTATCAAATTGTTGAATTTGGACTTGGTTGGGGGATCGAAAAATGAGCTATAATATTAAAATTGTGTCTGGTCTTTTTTTCTATTGAAAACAACTTTGGTTCTACCAAATGGTGCCAAAAATAGTCTACTGGTTCCAGGCGTCAAGTGTCACATAAATGTGAAAATTTAAAGTTGGAAATCAAGACTTGCCACCAAACCAATCACATGGGACAGAGCATTCATATATCGGCATATAAAACATACATGGTCCGACTGAGTTGTAGCATTTTTTCGATATTGTTACCCCGTCAGACCATCTAAGCTCATGTACATATTGTCTCTTGGTTGCAAGTGTGTCCATCATCTAGGGTTGGGAGGTATCAAAAATCATTATTATCCGAGGAGAAATGGGGGTCATTCATCATAGCAACTTGGTGGGCAATCTGGCTTGAGCGGAACTCCGATGTTGAGTTGCATTGGCAAAGCTGCATGTGACTGTTTTCAATCACATTTAGGACAGTATCGTTGAAAGGAAGGCAGTAGTCTACAGGGTACCACAATAGTATAACCTAGGGTATCTATCTGCCTAACGCGGTGCATCTGTTTCTAAAGCATCATCCCAACGATGTTGCAGAATGGTGTATGCTTGGACCTTGGAGCCTTGTTGATCGCATGTATCCTTCATCTTCATGTGACTCTAACTTTGTACAGCAAGGGGTTGTTGCTTTTCTGTAACTCTAACTTCATACATTTTCGCAATTAATTAAATGAAAGCAACATTATTGCTTTAGTCCAAAAAATAATAATGTCATTGCCATATATGGATCACGGTACCCTACCACTCTGGTGAACAATACGAACCCACACGGAACCAGTTCAAGGTAATCATGGAGCAAAGTTGCCAATGGTAGACGCCGGCGCTGTTCTATTGGCAGTTTATTGATCGATGGCGCTAGAACCTCGGACCCTCACGGCATTCTCAATCACGTTCAGCAGTTCTTCTCTTCTCTTCTGGCTGCCAGGCCGGCTTCTGGCTTTGTTATTTCCGCTTTCTCTGGTCCCAACCTTGACTGGTGTCGGACGAAGAGAACTCTGTGCTCATGGTTCCTCTATCTGTTGAAGAAATTGAAGCGGTCCTCAATTCTGCGAATGCGAATTTGGCGTCCGCCCCGGATGGTTTTTCGATTCCCTTCTTGAAGAAGTTTTCTCCAATGCCGCCACTACTGCAGGAATGCCCAACAGTTGTGGGTGCAGAAAGCCTAGTCGTGGCGGGCCAAGCTCTCAGGGCCGCCCGCCACTAACCTCCCTCCACGGCTATAAACCCATCAGTGGCGGGCGCTCGCCCCCCACTGGTATGTAGCTTCTTGTGGCGGGCTTTCTGACCTGCCCGCCATAACTGCTACCATAGTTGTTGCTCTTCAGACGTTCTGCCCGCAAAAGGGATGAGCGCGAACGATTCTCAATATAACTGGAGCAGAATGAATTCATTTTGAGAACAAACCCTCAAATAATTCAGTAACACTTGAAAGTTTATCGACTTAAGAAACAAACATCAATGTATCACATTCATCTTAACATACTAGTTAATTAACTAACAGTTCTCTGGCTGATATATTCAAGACTTATTTCTAAACATGGTCAACAACAACCATTATCTGATAGTCGTTGCGGTTGCTCTTCCTTACAATGATTACCACAAGGGTGTCCACCCTTAGTTCTCTCATTCCCTTGATGAACTCCTGCCAGCCGGACATGCCCTCTTGGTCCATGGATTACTCCATTGGTGCTGACGGCGGCGATGCCACTTCGGAAAACATCTTCAAAGGTAACTTCTGAACTCCCCATCATTAAGAGAAAATAGAAAGCACGCAATGTTAGACATCTCACCATACTTGGTTATCACCAAAAAGAGATGAAAGAATATAAAACATCTCACCATAACTTTTTTGACCATGTTAGTTTTTGCTAGACAGTCCACAAAGGGCTTCCCCAAGAAGGCTAAATAGGATGGTAACATCGCTTTCACATTAGCTGTCTCATCCCGAGTAAGCTTCTTGATCAAAAAATTGCAGAAACAATAGGACCATCGTCTTCATCTTCGATGTCCTCATCTTTATCTTGGTTGTCCTCATCTTCATCTTGGATGTCCTCATCTTCATCTTCATCTTCATCATCCTGATCATCTTAGTCATCTTCATCTTCAACATCCTGGTCATCTTGGTCATCATCATCATCATCATCATCGTTGTTGACATATAATGTCCTTAACCTGTTCACCTATCCTGTTAAGGAAAAGGCTATGAGTTCTCCTCTTTAAAATTGTTCACTGCAATGTACTGTTCCCATCCATCACCATATATGATGGTTTTATTCTTTCCTTTGCGTAGATCTGTAACATCTCAAATTTTCAATTTGGAATATTATACACTAGATCATCATTGCATATCATATTTTTATTGCATTTTGGCTTGATCCAGAAATTCTACGCAACTCAAGGACCCACGGAGAGAGTTGGGGATTTCGTTATTTTCATATTTGAGTTTTCTCAAATTTTGAAAATAGGATCATTTGATTTTATTTATTTCATCTTCAATTATTTCTATTATACAAATATGAGAGAGGGAATAAAATGACTTTACCAAAAAATAAAGAAATATTGAGGATTTAATAATAAAATCAAATAAAATTTTATTTCGGAGTTTGGCTACTTTATTTGAATTTAGGAAAAATTGTTCGTTTTTCAAAACTGCATTTTAGGTCCAAGAAAATGTTCATCTCGTTCTAAATATTTTATTTAGACGATGAAAATTTGTTTTGGCATTTTTAGAATTTTATTTTTTTTCAGGTTTTATTTTCTGTTCGGCGGAATTGTTTAAAAAAAACTCCCGCCGCCCACCCTGCGCCCGCCTCCCTGCCGCCGTCTTCCGCGCGGAGACCGCGACCGCCGCCGCCGTCGCCGTAACCGAGTCGGCCACGATTCCCTGCCCCCTCCCGCAAGCCACCCCCCTAAAAGCCGACCCGGGCCCCCCTGGAGCCCCAAGCCGGAGCCGCCGCCGCTGCAAGCCGCCCACCCGCCGCCTTGCGTCGCCGCTCGCCGCTGCTGCCGTGCCGCCGCCGCCCGGAGCCCCGCCGCCCACCGGACCCTGCCGGAGCCGCCGGACCTCACCGGAGCCCCGACGAGGTAGCCGCCCGCCGCCGCCCCGGTTTTCTAAGAAAACCGATTCGGTTTTTTTGATAACCCAAGGTTTATTTTTTTAGATTAGTTTTTTTTGGTTTATTTCATTAGCGAGCGTTCGCTCGTTCTTCCGTTTTAACGGACGAGTCCGCCATTTAGTTTCAGTTAACGAACGTCCGTTCGTTAAACTGTTCATCAATTTTTCTTTTTCTCGGATTTTCCGCGATTATTCGAGAT